ACAGCTTCACCACTGCACAGGCTAAATATATCAATTCTGCTGCTTTCTTCATAAGGACACAATGACAGATTATGATTAGTTATAAAGCATTTTTGGAAATTAGAAGTACCATAAAAGATTTGAATACTAGAACAGATTATATAGTAGAAGCAGTTCTCATAATATATTCAGTATTTAGGTCACCACTATGTGACCAAGGATAGATAGAATTGCCTCGCTTTCACAAAGTAAAAAATAAATAAATAAATAAATAAATCTGTGTATTAGTGTAAGACTGGAATTCAGGGGTAATGCATGAGCTGGATTGACACTGTGGGTTAATGCACTGGACTGCAAAACTGGTTTGAACCGCAAGGTCGGCAAGTCAAGCTCACCAGCTTCTCCTTGGAAACCCTAGGGTTGCTGTGAGTCAGAACCGACTCAACAGCACTTAACACAACAAATATAGTTTAAATCTCACATATAGTTTGAAGTTTCCACACAAATTTATAGCTTCTCTTAAGAACCTTCTACATTTCAATGTTGTTTTTCTTTAATTTGAAATACTTGTATAAAAAGATTTACAAGCTGAAACCAAGATTATTGTTTACCAATGAAGAACTATGTTCTCATACTCAAACTATGAGGTTTATTAAGTAGGATGAATATCTGTCCTTCCCATGATTAACCTGTCAGTGTGTTGTATATGAGCTATTATCAGTAATTTATTACGTATGACCCTTTTTTAATTTTACATATGCATTAAAAGTGTATTAATTCTCTCAAAGGATACGAATTCATATCCTATTCTACAAACTCAAAAGATGAAGAATATACAGAATTCATCTTCTCTTTTATCTCCTTCTATATAATCATTCTTATACCCAAAATTGAGATTCTCAAACTGTTTAAAAAGGAAGGGGCTTATTTTTTATTGTCTTTTAATGTTTTATGGTTATAAATAATCTTAATTTTTACATTAGCACTTTTCTTAATTTTTTACAAATATTTTCCCCAAAATTAAGTGGGGTGTTACACCAGTTTGTAAACAATGGCATAGCAGGACATAGATCACGTATTGTTGAGAATCATTATCTCACATTGTCGCTTTCCTTTGAACAATATCTTTGGGGGCTGGGTTTCAGTTTATAATAAAACAACTCAAGTTTAACTTCACATTCAGAAACACCAAAACATATTTAATTTTTATTCCATTTATTTGAATATGTTAATATAATTGTTACATGGTAAAGAGATCTTCATTTTTTGTCTTAACCCTGATTTACAAAATTCAATAATATGGAGAACGTCCATACAGTTGCTTATTATTTTATTTGTTCCATATATTAGTGCTTTGATCTCTAGTGACTTTTGTCCTTATATTATCAATATACATTTCCATTTAGTGTTCCTACTTAGAATAAATAGAACATGACAATAACCTGTGCATCACACACTGTTGCTATATTTAATACAAATAAACAGTTAAGGTTAAGAAACTCAAAGCTTAATACTGCTTTTGAAACTTGGTTATAACATGTATTGTTGCTTCAGTGATTGAAGAGACTAAACAAGTGTACCACGGAGTCAGGATAACTAAACCAATATATGTGTGTTTTTTAAGAAGCATATGACTTCTCTGCTCGTTGTATGGCAGAGTATTCATAAAATTTGCCTGGAAAAACACATGATGTTTTCAGGTTTTGTGGGAATGCTTTGACTATACTTGCATTTGAATTCTTCATAATGACCAAGGTTCTTAAAAGCTATACTATTTTCAGAAAGTTATAATTCATCTTCCTGGTTATATTTGTGCTAAATTTGTGAAAATGTATTATACTAATAGAAAAAGGTAAAACTATATATGTACTTATATTTCAAAAACCAGCACCGTGTACATTCTAGAAAAATGTTTGGTAACTTGTGGCACTTTGGTAAAGGAATGTGCAATTATGAAGGTTTATTCCATTTTAATCTCATTTTAAATTCCCAGGAAGTACTGTTAGTAGTCTTTTGGTTCAAAACCAAACTCGATTTTATGGCTGGCACTCTTTCCTACTAATAATTCTTTTTTTCTTTAGCTATGTGGAGAATTTATATTAAACCATTCTTTGCAGTGAGTATTTGCTTTATTCCTCAACCCTAACCTCAAAAATCTTTATTTAAAGGAATACTTTAATCCAGTGGTAATCAGAAAAGCATTTTACATATCAGTTCATCTGTGTGATATTAGTAATTTTCTGCTAAAATAACTAAATTCTTGAAAAAATAATATTCAAACATTTCAATTAATTTTATTAGCTATAGTTGATTAAGTAGTTGATGCACATATAGTTATAACTCATCCTAAGATCTAGAGCTGCCAAGACAGCCATGTGCATAGCTGTGCTTAAAATATATCCATATCCTCCAAAGAAAAGGACAAGATTTACAAGAAATAGAATTGTGTGGTTATGGATGTATACACTTCTATTAAGTTACCAATATTTTACTGCAATATACCTATGGGTTAGTAGAAGCAAAATGAAAACCAATATAGATGCTTTAATATAAAATGTTGGCATAAATACAAATTATGCATAAGCTGTTGCAATTGAAGATATTCATTGTGCCTGTATCTGAAAATTTACTTTAGATTTTCTCTGGCATAGCTCATTTAAGGCTGCACAATCATTTTAAATGTAAAGACACAGAATATATGAATGAATGAAATGGTGGCTCTATGGTTGCCATGAAATTTAAAATTCTGTTGACATTTTTGAGGAAAATTGGGTGCTATATATTATGATATAAAATAGATTGTTCACAAGCAACATGTGAGTCTTATATATAAATCACAGCATGTAGAAATTGTATGTCTTTTACTTTTCCCACAAAATAAATTCTGAATTTATAATTCAAATTTATCTTTTTAAACTGCCAATTATAAAAAGTGGAGTCCTGGTGTGGCACTGTAGGATAAAGCACTAGACCGCAAAATCGGTTTGAACCACAAGGTCAGCAGTTCAAACTCACCAGCTGCTCCTTGGAAACCATATATAGGGTCGCTATGAGTTGGAACTGACTTGACAGTACTAAACAACAACAATTATTAAAATTAATTAATATGGATTGAAATATTAAATGAAATACGACCTTATAAAAGAATGCTAGTTAATAATGAAACCCCATATATTATCAAACTTCTAATAATGCTGACTTTGCTACAAAGCCTTAAGAATACTTTAGTGAAAAAATTAATTACTTGGAAAAGAAGGCACTTTATTACCTTAAAAGAGAACTTTGTATAAAATTTGTCTAAAATCTCTTAAGAAATTCTTTATCCTTTTATAAATTTATCCTGCTTATGTTTTTTTCTAAAGCCTCTTGTACTATAATGTAATGATTCAAACAATTTATGAAAAAACAAATTTTAACAGAAAATTATATATGTAACATAACCAATAAATAATAAAGTAATAAAACTAAGGTAACAAAAGTATATATGATAAGAGCAAAGCTGTTAGTTTAAATATTGTACAATAATTTGAGGCTTAAAATGTAAAATTTGAAATTTTTTATTATTAACAATTTTTAGATAGTTTTAATTTTTTAAAATCTAATCTTTAATTGGCACTGCCTTTTCTTGAAATGCTAATCAATATAAAGGAAATTCAAATTCTTAAGTTAGCCTTTGATAATTCATTTTTGTTTTAGTTCAGATTTTTTTTAATGTAACCCTAAACATTAAGAAGTCTGTTTTCTTCTGTATTCAAATCAACCATGTCAAGTGCATTATCAAATTTAAATCAATCTTATGGGTGTGCTGATAGGTACAGCTATTTCCTCTAAAGAAAATTAGTAATTGCTATCCATACAATGTATTTGATTCAGCAGAAAAAAAGCACAGGATATTGTTTTTTTTAACAAAATTTGAGTTCAACACTTTCAAGTTAACATATCTCTTTTTAACATTTGTAAAGGTATATATATATATATACTGACTTTTATCCAAGAATGTTTTTCAACAGAAGAGCATTTCACAGTGAACAAATTTTTCTTTTTTGTTTGGGGGCAATTCTTTAAAAAAATAAAACAAAATTCTATCCTTTAACTTTTTGTCTTTTAATTCTTTATGTTGAGCATTTTTCTATCACTAGTTCTAAATGCTTTGATGTGTAAATGCAGCTTCACAGACACAATCATTATTACATTGAATAGAAAGGAGTCACGTGTATGAGAAGTCTACCCACATCAAAGAGAGACTAAAGACAAATTCCATGTCAAATCTTTAGGTAGTTTCAAGTCTTTAGTTTGTTTTCTTTTAAAAATAAGATATATTAACCCAAAGGTGTGTTAATGTCATGGCATGAACAATCTTAAATGTAGATCTATTGAGTATTTTGTGATGCTGAGTAACAGGCTTTTCTCAAATCTCTGTAATGCGAAATATTTTCCTTAGAAAGTTTTGTTCAATGTTAGATTGTTGTTCTGAAAGATGTTGGTCCTAGTGGGATTTTTTTAAACCGGGAAAAACAAATAAGCGCATGTATTACAAGTTTAGAAATGGTGAACTAATTGTAAACTTACCGTATAGTACTGCCTCTATTTTCAAAAAAAGGTTTTGCTGTTAAATACATATAACATTAAATTGCTGCTGTACTGTAACTGAGTACTTTTTCCTAAAGGACCCTGTTATCACTATTCCAGAATTAGAAGTTGGGCAGATACATGATTGATTCATGTGTCTGCATAGACACTTCAAGGTATATTCTTCTCTTGGTGAGTAAAAATATATTTTCCTTGGCATCAATGCATTGAGATCTGAATATACCTATATCTATCCTTATTGTGCATTTCGTATACAGTATCTTCTAATATGCCAAAATTGGTCTGGACACAACTTAAAATTGAGGGTTTGTTACATGCTTTCTAACAGAAAGGTTTTCAAGGATGTCAACCATGGGTTTGTACTGTGAAAATAGTAAAACTCCCTTTAAAATTTCCTATTTGCTAAATTTAAATTAATATTTTTTCTTTAGCTCACAATTTACCCTAAATCCAGAGAGAATATCCACCTTTTTCACTGTTGTCAAATCAAGCATAAGGAACAGCCCTATGACACTACAAACACAGTTGAGGAATAAGGAATAAGTCTCTTATGTCACACTCCAGAATAAAGGCATTCGCTGAAAGAAATGAACTGAAGTTCATCATGAATGCAAGGCTTCTGTACTTGGCATTCCTCCACGGAAGCGAAGATAAGTATCAACGCCATTGGCATCATTTTCAAACTGACCTAATGTGGAATACATTCCACCACACTGGAGTACCTCTTGACTCTTCCAGGTTTTTGTTCCCCTTTTTTAATCAAACCTTTCCATTTCAAACTGCCATTTGTCAACACTGAGGTAGAGAAACATAAAGATTTGAAAATACTTTCTTAAGAGATCATGTAACTATCTAACTCTGAATTTAAAAATTGAAGGGAGGTTGATAATTGCAATCCATTGCCTCTTACAAGAAACATTTTTTTTAAATCTGTAACTGCTTTAGTGTTAACAGGGTACAAGTTGTTTTTTTGTCCTGTATTGTATTTAAAGGGTTCTCATTGATTGGTGATTGTATTGTACTGTATGAAAGCAAATCATAAATTGCCTTGTATTGTTTATAATAGACCATACCATGTACTACTTCCGTTTTCATGTTCCAAGTTTTTCAATGATGCATGTTATCAGTTAGGTCCTAAAATTCTGTGGTGCTAATTCTTCCATACCCAATGGTGCTTTTGTGGATGCTAACTGCATACATGCTGAACAAAGCTTGAAGTTTAAAACTTTCCTCCCATCCTCTGTTTATATGAAGTAAAATAAAATAACTTGAATTTGTCTCAAAGTATCACTGACAATCTAATAAACTGGTTTATATGTGTGATTAGTGTGGATTCGTAATTAAAAAAAAAAAAAAGTTCAGTTCTAGCATGTCCTCTGGTATTTATCATGTATTTAATTTGTGCCCTAAATTTGTGGTATCTTTGGGAATTTAAATTCAGTTGACTTGTCATATAAAATCAAGTTTCTTTAGGTAGGAGGTATGAAAACTAGATCTAGCATATCTATAATTAAAATAAAAAGACCAAAATTGTGCCATAAGAATGTTTTTGTGCTATATTAGTACTTTACTTGACAAAGTTTTATCATATGATTTTGAACCACAAAGTAAATTTGCATGAAAGCAAGCAAGCCTTCAAAACCTTTATTACAACTTAAATGACACTGAAAAGGCCATTCTGTATACAGATAATTAAAGCATACAATTCCATATGTATGAAAATAGTGAAGAAAATTCAAGCTTGAATTTTTCAGGAGAAGCTGACATCATATACTGAAATGGCACAATAGAAAAACTCATGTAACCATTTTATTAGATTTTTAACTTACGCATCCAGACATTAGGACAAGTGAAGCTTCTAATATCTTCATGAGGACAGTGGTCTGTGTCTTCCAAGTCAGAGATAAATTCCATATTAAGGCTGTGTGCAAATTTGTAGTCCAACCTTGGCATTTTCCTAGTCATGGGTAACTTTAAATTAAAAAATATATATAACAGCTGACATTTATTAATGTTCCTGGAATAGTAAACATTGATATTAAATAGTTAATTAGACCAGTCAATCTACTCTAGTTTATCTCTGAAATGGCATTCCCAAATTCCTGACTCTTTATTGTATAAAAAGTTTAAGTACAGTAATTGCTTCAAATAGTTATTAAATATTGTCTAAATATTGTCATCAGAAAATGAAGTTTAAAGAACAAAACCGGTGAGAATACTGGGCTTGATTCTTCATGACTATGTTGAATAAATGCAAAATTTACTGACAACCTCTTCCTTCAATAAAACTTAATAGTGCAGTTAATGTGTTTGGCTGCTAACTGAAAGCTTGGGAGTTCAAGGCCACCCAGATGTGCCTTTGAAGAAAGTCCTTCAAAAGAAACCAGTCAGCCGTTGAAAATCTTATGGAGCACAATTCTACTATGACATATATAGTGTCTTTATGAGTCAGAGTCAACTCAATGGCAGGTGGCTTACTAGCTTCCCCAAAGATATTCCTATTGTTATTGTTAGGTGCCATTGAATCAGTTCCTACACACGGCAACCCTTTACACAACAGAATGAAGCACTGTGTAGTCCTGTGCCATCTTCATTGCAATAGCTGTGTCAGTCCATCTCGTTGGAGGTCTTCTTTTATGTTGACCTTCCACTTTGCCAAACATGATGTCATTTTCCAGGGACTGGTCCTTCCTGACAACAAGTCCAGTGTACTTAGAAACAAAGTCTTTCCATCCTTGCTTCTAAGGAACATTCTGGCTGTACTTCTTCCAAGATAGATTTGTTTGTTCTGGCAATCCATGGCACTTTTAATATTGTCTCCAACACCATAAATCAAATGCATCTATTGTCCTATGGTCTTCCTTATTTATTCTTTTCACATGCATATGAGGCAATTGAAAATGCCCACCTTAGGCCTCAAAGTGACATCCATTTCCACTATATATTTTTGTAACTACTTTTGTAACATTCTATTTTGTGGCACTATGGGTTAATGTTGTTGGACTGCAAAGTCAGTTTGAACTTCAAGGTCGGCAGTTCAAGCTCACCATCCACTCCTCCGTAACCCTATACAGGGTCGTTATGAGTCGGAACCGACTCAACAGCACTTCACAACAACACCAGTGAATGACAAACATGCTGCAAAATAATTTCAGGGGTTTTTTTTCATGAACAAAAGAGTCTATTAATGTTTTTGACGAACTTTACTCCTGTGGTAATCTCACCTACTAGATGAAAAAAATAATTCTAAGTTTATGAAAGGATAAGAGGATAAATGACTTGCTTTGGGGGAGAAAAATCTTTTTAATCTACATGAAAACATCTCTAATTTTTACCACTACAATTAGCCAGATTTATGTACTATTGTTCACCACAATATTTTCCCATGTAAAAAATGATTATCACATAAAATTTATATTATTTTATTCTGTGTGTTATTGTTTCTTATATAGCCCTAAATAAATTAAGTACACTTTGAAAATGTAGTTCATTTGTGAAAATATTGTAGTCTCTCCTTCTTTAAGTGAAACTGATTTAAGTTTTGAAAATGTTGCACAATTACACCTGTCTTCATAGCTTTAACAGCATTATTTGGCAAGCTGTTGTCTTTTAAAAAAAAAAACCACACACACACAACCAATAATTTCCAAGGGAAAGCAAAGACAACAACTTACTATGTTCTGAAGGTATCTTCTTTTAGGTCTTGTATAAAAGCAATTTCAAATGAGATTCAGGTGCTCTCTATAGAGGGCCATCCTTTGAAATAAAATCTATACTCTAGAAACTTAACCTCACTCATCTTAGGGAACTAATTCCTACTGGGTATTGCTTTTAGTTTGAAAATGACCAATAATAATCATCTTGCTGTAGCTCAAAAAAAAAAAAAAAGAGCCAATCTGTATAATTTCAGAGTTATTGTCATGCAGTCTTTTAAAACATGTTGAAATACATGTATAATGATTCATACTTGGACTAAAGTTAGTTTTCTTCCCACTTTATCCTTGGGGATTGAGAAGTCTCCTAGAAAATACATAAAAAGTAATATAATTTACACAAAAACAAATAAGTGGTAGTCCATAAGACTGAATAAGATATTGAATGCAATGAGTTTAGCACTACGTATTATCCCAAAATAACCTTTTATACCCCTTGAGTGGTAGATAAAGCTTATTCTTGCAAAGTGTAATGTTTGCTATCATAAAAGACTTACTGAAAGTCTAGCTCATGAATATAAAAAGGACTCCAAGGATTAGCCCTCAATTTTGTGTATTTAGAATCTCAGTTTTGTTAGTTCATTCTGGGTGAATTCACAAGTGAATCCTTCTGTGCAAAGTCATAAAACACCTTGACACCAGATGTCCAATGGAGAAACCAAGTAAGTTATAACAAAAAATATTATTTCCTAGGTATTAGGATTAGGAGAGTTTACATAAAAACTGAAATTTGATGTTTTGCTTTACAATTTACAAAATTTTAATTTTAAGATAACCTTGTATTATTTTTATGACTTTACAATGATTTTTTTCATCAAAATGTATGTTTAATAAACAAAAGTATTCTGAAGTATCCTGCACTCTCAGTATTTGTATTCAAATGAACATAAAATTTAAAAATACTATCAGAGACACATTTGATAATAATGTGCACCATTTAACATAGGATTTAAAGATATGTGCATGGCTTAATTTCAGACACTTAGTAAAACATGTTTCATATGACTATCATATTTAGTGAATTCCAGTTTTATTCTCTTGGAATCCTGGTGTGGCACTGTAGAATAAGCACTGGATTGATAACCAAAAGATGAGTGATTCAAACACACCAGTCACTCTTTGGAAACCCTATACAGAGTCACTCTGAGTCAGAACTGACACAATGGCACTTAACAACAGTTCAATTCTAAATGGCCCATTATAGACATTTATTCTTCACTTTACCTGAGTAAAAATAATTATGATGGATTGGTTAACTGTTAATGATGTGGTCTCTTTTGCAATCATAAGGGTCTGACTTCCTTGATTCGGATACTGAGTGGTTAATCTGTATTTTAAATGTCATGCTGTTCTATAACACTTAAGAAGAGGTTTTCAACAGTATGGTAATTTTACTTGCTGTCACTGTTGTTGTTAAGTACTGTCAAGTTGGTTCCGACTCATAGCAACCCTGTATAAGGCTTTTGTTTTTGTTTTCTTTTTTTTTTATTGTGAACTGAGTGATAATTTACATGGGAGTAAATCGGCTTTACACCATTGTTTCATTTCAGTGATTATAATCTCCTCTGTGCATCATCATTCAACAGTATTTGCTTCCATTCCCTCTGTTGTTTGTTTTGTTTTGTTTCAGGGTGGGGGGGATGTACACAGAAACATTCAGGAATATATAATAATTTAAACAATCAAAGGGCACATTCTGCAAGCCTGCCTTCTGGCCACCAGCACTCAGTCCCTCTCTTTCCATGAGTCTAGGGTCCTCAGCTGCTCCCTCTCTCCATGTCATAATCTCTACCTCCATCTCTGGTGTCACTACTTCTCTGAATAGAGTCCCACATTCCACTTGTGCTCTTCTCCCTTGATGGTTCTAGGGTCCTCTGTTGCTAGACTGTTAAGATTAACTACTTTACCATTTTTATTACACAACTTCTACCTTTACAGTTGTGACAGTCACAATTAGTCACTATTGAATCATAAGAATCTTATCTCCATCCCTGTTCACCAGACCTGTCTAGACAAGATGAAAACTATTCAGTGGGGACTCTTATCTTCCCCTGCACACTACTAAACTAAACTTCCCCTTGAAAACTTGTAAGCCAGTCACTTCATGTCTTTATTGCCCCCTCATTTTAGGTAGTCAATGTCTAATTTGCCC